CTGAAGATACAAGAGAGTCACAGTGTTTCATTTACTAGATAATTTCACTGTGAAGAGGAAATTCAAAAGAGAACAGACTTCTGCTTCTGGCCAAGATGGACAGGGACCAGATTTCCCTCCAGCCTTAAACAGTGGGATTGGGAAGGATAAGGCAAAACATACACAACAGTTTCAAGACACGGACCGCAGCCAGGACATAAAGAGCAGAGACTGCTGAGACACGGCCAACAGACAAGAGATGAGCTCTAAGACCGCCCAGATCACTGCCGCACCAGACTCCCAGCTGCAGCGTGCAGGGGGAGCCCAGGCAGAGCCGGCAGACCTGTTGAGCTGAGAAGAGTCCATGTAAGTCAAGGCTGCTCAAGTCTGCAGGGCACAGAACGAGAGAGGAGCAAACTGCACACGGTGCTCTGCTAACCTGCAGAGTCCATGCTGAGGCTTTGGCTGGTGGTGTTGGGGGCTCACATGAGGAGTAAACAAATGACCTAAGGCTGGGGAATAAAAAAACTCCAAGAGCAGAAGAATGATTCTCCACGCTCCACAGGGTCAGACAGACATAGTGCCCATCCCAACAACCTCGTCACCTCCCTATTCACAGAGCACCACAGAGGCTCAGTAGGGGGGGTAAACTACCTCTAGACCCAAACATTGTCTGGGAAGGGCCACACAGTAACTACTCTAGGCTTTGGGGATCATGTGATCTGTACAGCAAATACCCAACTCTGCCACCGTAAGCAGGAAAGCATCTAAAGATGATATGTAAGTGCATGAGCATGACTGTCTGTGTTCCCATAAAACTTATTTGTGAGCCCTAAACTTTGAATTTTGTACAAATTTTGCAGGTCACAAAATTGTCTTCCTTTGATTATTTTTCATCATTTAAAACTTTTAAAGCCACTTTTTAACTTGTAGACTATACAGAAACACATAGTTGACCAGATTTCGCGCACAGGTCATGGTTTGTGGTACCTGTTCTAAAATAAATGCCTCTATGGTCTAAGACCCAAATAACTTAACTGGATCCCACAGCAACTCTCAAGAATATTTCTAGAAATTCAAGAATAGCCATTATTGAAAAAAACCCACAATAACTGGCATCCCAATGACTGTTTCTCCCACTAAGGTCAGAAACAAGGTGAGCAGGTTGACTCTCCACATTGTACTAGAGGGTGTAGGACATGCAGTTAGGCAACAAAAATAAATAAAAGGCATCCAGATTAAAATGAAGAAGCAAAACTATTCACAGAAAACATGATCATTTGTGTGGAAAATTCTATTTATCCTCAATAAATATACTATTTTTTTTTTTTGGTACTAGGGATTGAACTCGGGTCCTTGCACTTGCGAGGCAGGCGGCGGAACCACTGAGCTAAATCTCTGGTCCCACTATTTCATTTTTTTTTAAATGAGTGAATTTAGAAGACTGCACAATCCAAAAACAATATACAAAAACCTGTGTGTGTGTGTGTTACTGGCAATTAAACCCAAGGTCTCTGCACTGAGGTAAATTGTACTCAGCCCTTTTAAAAAAATTTTTATTTTGAGACAGAGTCTTGTTAAGTCACTAAATTCCTTAGGCTGGGCTTGAACTTCCAATCCTCAGCCTCTGAGAATGCTGGGTTTATAGAAGAGCAACAATCAGACATTGTATTTAAAAATTTTAAATGCCAGGTGTAATAATAAAATATATGCTATTTATAATAAAAATATGAAATACTGATAAATTATATAAAAGATATACATAGTGAAAACTAAAAAGCACTGCTGAGAACAATTAAACAACTACATAGAGAGATTTGCCACATTCCTAGATTAAGAGACTCAATATCATCAAGATCTCAGTTCTTCCCAAATTAATCTTAAGATTCAAAGTAATCCCAATCAAAATTCCAGAAGGCCTTTTTCTTTTCTGGTGCTGAGAATTGAACTCAGGACCTCAAGCACACAGGCAAATGCTCTACCACTAAGCTATAACCCATGCCTGAAGCCCTTATTATTTTTGGAGAAACTGAAAGCTAATTCTAAAATTCATAAGAAAATGTGAAAGATCTGGTAATATCCAATAAAACTGTTAAAAAGAACAAACCTGGACAACTTATCTACTTGACTTAAAAATCTGTCACAAAGGCACAATAATCAAGACAGCGTGGCACTGGTATGAACAGGCCAATGTAAAAGAATAGACTCCAGAAATAGGGCCATAGATTCACATTATCAAAAAACAAAAGATTATAAAAGTTTGACAAAGATGTGGAGAAAATAGAACCCTTGCCATGTTTTTTACCACTCTTGGTGGCAGTACAAATTAGTGTATCTATTAAGGAAAACAGTATGGAGGTTCTTCAGAAATTTAAAAATAAAACTACTAGAGCTGGGAATCTAGCTCAGTGGTCCCGGCACCTGCCTCACAAGCGTGAGGTCCCAAGTTCGATCCCCAGTACCATAAATAAATAAATAAACCTACTATATGGTGTAGCAATTTCACTACTAGGTATATAAAGGAAATGAGATTAGTATGTCAAAGAAACATCAGCATTCCCATGTTCGCTGCATTACTCCCAATAGATAAGATTTTTAAAATCCATCTGAATATGCTTCAATGGATGAATGGATTTTTAAATATATATGTGCAATGGAATACTATTCAGCCATAAAAATCCTTCCATTAGCAACAAAATGAATGAATTTGAAGGACATTATGGTAAGTGAAATAAGTCACAGAAAAACAAACACTACATGATCTTACTAATATGGGGAATCCACTTCAAAGGATACAAAGTTCAGTTAGGGAGTTGAAGAGCTCTATTATATATCATGCTAATACACTTGAAAATTGCTAAAAGACTAGATTTTAAGTGTTCTCACCACAAATATGTGAGGTAGTGCACATGTTGGCTTGATTTAGCCACTCTACAACTGTACACCATAGATATATACCATCTTGATTCGCCAATAATTTTTAATTTTAAAAATAAACAGTTAAGGGCTGGGGATTTAGCTCAGTGGCGCCACGCCTGCCTTGGCGCACGGTCCTGAGTTCAAACCCTGGTACCAAAAAAAAAAAAGCAAATAAATAAACAGTTAAGGGCCTGGGATGTAAAAATGTCTGCCTAATATATGCATAAGGGTCTAGGTTCAATTTTTAGCATCATGCACACAAACACAAAAGCATTAAACATACACCTTTTATATGACTCAATCATTCTACTTGTAGGTATTTACCTAAAAAAACATGAAAATTTACGTCTATACAAATACTTATGCATGAATGTAAATAGTTGTTTTATTTGTAAGACACCCATCCCCCCCGACTGAAAACAACCCAAATACCCATCGACAAGTATATACAGCTTGTGGTAAATTCGAGCAATGGAATACTACTATGATTCCACAGCACAAGCGAATAAAATGCTGATACAGTGACAACATAGGTGAATTTTAAAGTAATTATGCTAAGAGAAAGAAGCCAGATCTCCTTTTTCACTTCCCCCACCCCCAAGTTAATACTGTATGATTCAATTTATGTAAAATTTTAGAAAACAGAAACTAATTTATAGTGACAGAAAACAGATCAGCAGTTGTCTAGAGATGGAGGAGGGAGAATGGGAAGAATTACAAAGAGACATGAAGAAAACTTCTATTAAAGAAGATAATGAATGTTATCTTCATATTATTATGTTTGTTATTTTGACTGCAATCATGATCTAATAGGTGTATACATATGGCAAAGCTTATCAAATTTACATTTCAAATATGTGCTGTTTATGATAATGTCAAGTATACCTCAATAAAGCTTTTTTGATAAGTAAAATTAGAAAGTAAACTTATCTGTACAGACTGACATGACAAAAATGTCCATAACACATATTTAGGTTTAAAAAAAAAGCTGTGGAATTATATATATATATGGTATCTATAGACCTCATGACCCCACTTATGTAAAATATATGTTTATACTGAATACATGGTGTGAGTTCAAGTTTAAAAAAAAAATTATTACAATAAAAAAACACATTGCCATTAACCTCGCTCAAAATACTTCCCTCTTGCTTTGAGCACATTTATTCTATTGTTCTTGCCACTTTCTGAAGTAGCTGATAAGTCTTTTTTCATCCCTTTAGTTACACTGTTGTGGCTTCCTCAATGTCCTGAATTGATTCAAAATGTTGAGCTTTCACTTGGCTTTGGGGACGAGCCAGAGGTCATGGTGTCAGATCCAGGGATGGCGCTCAGCAGCAACATTCACTATGTTTTTGATCACATCTCATAAAGACTCAGAAGAGGACTTTTAGAACTGCTTCAGAAAGTAGCAAGAATGATGGGACAAGTGTGTTCAAAGTGAGGGAAAAATTTTGAGGGGATCAATGACAATGACAATGTCTCTTTTACTGTAATAAATCCTTTTAAACATCTACCATACATTTTAATGACACCATACACACACACCGATATATACATATGTGTGTATACACACACACACACACACACACACACACACAGAGGAAGTACATGTTAATACATTCAGTTTGAGACCAGAGAAACAATATAGAGAGCTTTTCATCTTCTCTGTTCCTATACTGTTTTGACTTTGTATAGCAAATATGCATTACTTCTGAAATTTAAAAATATGAGAAGTTTAAATCTAATTGGCAGGTTTAAAAGTTCATGTGCAAGATGAACTTGCAGGTAAAAGTCAAAATAACTTCCTTTACAGAAGAAAAAGATGGAGGTGTGTGTTTGGAGAAAAATCAAGGGCACATGCATCGAGTTCACCAGGACCTATCAGACTCAGATCTCTTCTCTGCGCTCAGGAGTGGAAAAATCACTACTTCTCTCAGCTACACAGTCCTCTATTCCTCAGGTATTCTGAGGCACAAAAAAGACCAAGAGCTTGAAAATACCAACAGTTTTCACTCCAATATTCTATAGGGTAAGGAATACAAAAAGCCACAGATACAATCTGGCAGGTTTCTGAGCCCCACCACTTAGGTATTCGGTACCTTGGATAATTTTCTGCTGCTGCTGCCGGAGTTCATCAAATCCTAAGCCCCTGGTCTCCTCTGGCTCCTCAAAGAGCCAAGGGTTGGGGACTCCTCGTTTAGCCTCTTCCCTCATCAGGCTGGACCTAAGAACAATATAAAATGCATTACACACCTCAAAGACTACAGCTCAGCTGCAAATTGTTCCCACAAGGGCTGAGATGGCCAGCCTTGCATGCTTTGAAATTTCAATTTGAACAATTTACTGCACCCTTAGTTTATGCCAGGAACTGTGTTTGATGCAGTAAAGGATACAGAAATGAATAAGGCACAAACCTAGGGCCCAAGAATTACAGCCTATGGAACAGATGATGAGATAACATAATACTTGTACTAATCCTCCATGATATATTTGATTCAATAATCAGAGGTGGGTAAATGAGCTCTTTAAATTTCAAAATCACAAAGCCCATTGGAAGTGGACTTTTCATTCAAAGTTTGTCTCACACCCTACATGACACCAAAGGTACATACATTATTTCTCAAGCAGATATAATGTTGTGATTATAAATTACAGCATAAAGAAAAGGCCACATAATTTCTCATTAAAGGGCACTTGGTTCAAAATGTTACATGCATGCATGAAAATATTACACTGAAACCCAACATTTCATCAAATTAATATGAATAAAAATACATTTTAAAAGGATATTTGGTTTCTCACAGAAACTCAGTTTCAAATCCAACTTTGTGAATATAATGCAGCATTCACAACACAATCAACCCACTCAAATTATCAATCTTAACCTTGCTCCTTCTAGTAGTGCCCCTTTTGCACCAGACATATCAATCTTGTTGTCCAAGGAACAGAGAAGACAATTTCCACCTCAGCCCCCTGCTTACAGGATTCTTTTCAATCAAGTCCCTCCTCTCCTGCCCCGACCTGTCCACATTCTTTCCAACCTACAAGGATCATTTTGTCCAGGAAACCATTTCTGATAACTTCAACACAGAGATGAACACTCACTCTACAGCTCTCATTAGCATCATAAAAAATGATGTCACAGTAGGAGTGGTAACAGTAATAGCAGAGATTGAGCCTTAGTATGTGCAGGCATGGCTCCATGGGATTTATAGAATTCCCTCTTTTCTCCATTATTTATCATTCTTCTCCTGTCACAGTCTCTCCCATTGTCTTGAAGTATCTGCTACTGTATTGTTTAACCTTTTATGTGGATAAGTTTCCTGTCCACTAGATAGAAAGCTAAAAACTAAAAAGCACCCATCACTGTACTGTAGTGTTCCCCAATACGAAGTAAAGCGCTAACAGCACATCACCTCCCAGTAATAGATGGCTGGTTAGAGCAAGTTCAGGGGCTTGCTGGAGGATTAAGTGTAACCACTCATTCAAAAATCATCTACTCAGTACAAATTATGTGGTACGCACTGTTCTAATCATTAGGATAAAGAAAAAACAAACAATAGACAATATAGACCACAACCTCTGCCCAGACAAAACCAGGTGCTGCTTTTATTCTGGTGTGGGGTGTGGGGCACACAACAAGTAAAATTGCTCAAGTAGTGCTTGGTAAAAAAATCATTCAATCAATTAACTATTATCATTATATAAATGACTGCGTTGTATTCAGAAGAGACACTGAAGTATTACTTTTTAATAAGTATATCTCAAATAGCTATATGAATTTCATTTTAGTTCAGTACTTTATATCCAATAGAATATAATATATCAAGAAACAAACCCAGGCCAACCTGGAAGAATCTGTGATTCCTTGGACTGATTTCAAGCACAGAGCTCGTCTCTCTTATGCAAGTGTACCAATGAACATGGCAAACAGAAGTGTCATTTCTTCCAATTTATCAAAAAGACAGATGTGCTCTTTAAAATCTTACTTTACATGACTGGCCCCAAGAATTTAAGATGTCAAGATTTTGGATTTATTCTATACAATAATCATTCAATTTCACCTAGCTTTGAAGACAGGGGAAAAAGCAATGAGAAAGGAAGGAAAAAAGGAACTTTGCAATCAAAGCATACCTCTTAGCTTTTAAACCATCTTGCAAATGTCAACTTTGTCAAAATAAAAACAAAAATCGTGATGGGATTCCATCATGGCTAATTGCAAAAGCCTGGATCAGAGGCCTGTAAAGTCACCTCAAAAGTGCACCACGACCAGCCATGAATATCCATTCAAATGAGTATATGCAACTAGTTATACTGGCCCCCAAGTTAGAGTTGGCACGACCAGCTGTTGGCGGTTGTGCTGCTTAGAATGTACTTTTAAAAACTAATAGCCAGGGCAGGAGATTTAGCTCAGTGGTTTTGCTGCCTGCTGCGCAAGTGCAAGGACCCAAGTTCAATCCCTGGTACCAAAAAAAACCACCCAAAACTAATAGCCAGGTGTGGTGGTGCATGCCTGTAATTCCATCACTCAGGAAGCTGAGGCAGGAGGATTGCTGCAAGTTCGAGGCCAGCCTGGGCTACATAGTGAGTTCAAGGCCAACCTGAACTACATAACGAGACACGTCTCAAAAAACCAAAATAAATAAATAAATAAATATTAAGATTAATGGGCTGGAGGTGTAGCTTAGTGGTCACCATTCATTCAAGAAACCATCTACTCAGCATGAGTGAAGTCATGAGATCAATCTTTCACATACACACAAAAATTAATATTTAAGGGAGAAAAAACAATAAACGTGAATTTCTTTCTTTCTTTCTTTTTTTTTTTTTTGCGGCACCAGAGATGGAACTCAGGACCTTGGGCTTGCAAGGCAGGTGTGGCACCACTGAGCTAAATCCTGGCAAATGTGAATTTTTTTTTCTTGGTGGTGCTAGAGATTGAACCCAGGGCCTTGTGCATGGTAGGCAGGCACTCTACCATTGAGCTACATCCTCAGCCCTAAATGTAAAAATTTTTTTTTTAGCAATTTTTAAGAAAATGACACATTAGGACTTCAGCCATATGAATGTGTGAAATATTTTAAACTACCTACTGGAGAATAAAAGTGACAACACAGGCACAATTTAATATTAATATTAAACACAAAACCATAAAATACATAGAAAAGATTTTACAGGGTTACCTAATTCCTAAACCTGAACTAGCCTCTTACCCCTATTTTGGTGTTTTTATTTTGCTTGTCTATTTTTTTTTTTGGTACCAGGGATTGAACTCCAGTCCTTGTGCTTTCAAACCAGGTGGCAGAACCACTGAGCTAAATCCCCGGCCCTCTATTTTGCTGATGTTCCAAATCCACTGGGAAATCCAGTAATGGACGGGCTTCACTACTAAGAGCAAAGCAAGCAAGGTGTCGTTAAGATCATAGGTGTATCCTGTACGCAGGATATTTGATTTTGTCATTAGCTTTCATCCTCAACTTAACATTTGGAGTGCTGCTTATTAATATGCAGTGGGCCCTACTAAAACTATATGAGAATCTGGGGGTAGGGGAAGAAATAGCACATGAACAGTTGAAAAGAAGCCCCATATAAAAATTCAGGCAAGGGATGTCCTCACACCTCTTACCCTGCTTGAAAACACTGTGTTAAAGACTTACCAACTATCTGTACCCCTCATGTCTCCCTACAGGTACTCTATCTGGATTTGTACCCTCTCAGGTACAAATATCTCCTATTCCTCTCCATACTCAACATGTCTGTGCTGGTTACTTTTCTCCTTGCTGAGACAAAATATCCAACACCCTAAGTTAAAGGGGGAAAAAGTTTATTTAGCTCAGTTTGTAGAGGCTTCAGCCTATCATCGGCTGGCTCCAAGGCAGGGTGGCACATGGCAGAGGGGCAACAGTTCATGGTGGACGGAAGGTAGCAAAGCAACAAGGGAACCTAAACAGCTTCTTTCTGCCCCTTTTAGCTTATTCTGACTACTGGGACTAGGGCGGTGCCAAACCAGTGTACTGGTTTAGTAATCACAGGCCCTTAATCCCAGTGTCACACACTCCAGATTCAGCCACCTCTGACCGCATGAGGCTTGCGGGGGGGACATCTACATACAAGCCATTAACAATGTCCAAAGTCAAATTCACTACTTTCACCCTCTAAGCTTTTCTTCTCCTGTGCTCACTATCTTGGTTAGCAAGTCATCCACGCATGATCTTTGTCTCCTCCCCCACACCCATCAATGACTAAGGCCTCCTTGGAGACACTTCCCAAGCCCACATCCTCATCTCCAGCCCCGCTGGAACAGTTTTGGCCTAGACCCTAGTCTTCGGTGCAGGTCACAGTAATGATCTTCCAACTGGTCTCCTTGTTGCCAGTCACCTTTTTGTCCATATCATCTTACATGCTGATGCCAGAATCCTCTCTTTCAAATATCTCATCAAATCATTTCCCCACTCTCAAATGCCTATGTCCAAGAAGCTACAGGTCCAGCAGAAACTGACAAGACGGCCCCAGGGGTCTGTGACATCATTTCTCACCATGCCCCCTTCCACACTCTGCTTCCCCTCCACACCCCCACACTGCTCACCACCACTCAAAGGCACAAACTTTCACACTCTCAAGTTTTTGCATGAGCCTGAAGTGTCCCCACCCCCACCCCTTCATCCATCTGCCAAAATTCTATTCATCCCCTAAGGCTCCACTCAAATGTCACTTCTTCTGCTTAGTCCTTCCTGATCCCCACCCCAGCCCCCTTCCCTCAAATCAATCACTCGCTGGTGCTCCCATGGCACTCTGTTCACAACCTCTAATGTGGCATTTATCAAGCAGGATTGTAGTTAGTTATTTACTCATCTGTCTCCCTTCCTAAATTATGAGCTCTGTGAGGAAAGAAGCCACATGACAGTCATGTTTATATCCCCAGTACCAAAAAACAGAGCAGAGACTATGCCAGAGAAGCAGCATTCGGCAAATGTTTATGAAACAAAACTGGGAAAACCACTAAGGGTTTTAAGCTAAAGAGACAAAATGAGAGATGTATTTAACATTTTATTTTGAGAGATTAAAAAACTTAATCAACTGCTACCCACCTTCAAGACTTTAGCAGCAAAAGCTAATACTGTTCAAGCAGATGGAGAGAATTTACTTAAGAGAATTCTGTCATTAATGTACCTTGTAGCTCAACTTTGCCTTTGGAAAGACAAGTTAAGGAACATTTCTCCTTTT